TATGGATTTGGATCTATGTAATATTTCTAATAAATGCATAAAAACATGCATAATTTATTGGCTGCTGCAGAGAAGTTGAAGTGTTAAAACGTACCGCTGTTTTTCATAATAGCACTCGTGGGTGTGCCCCCTTACCCCCAACATCATTGCAATCAGTTTTGCAGGTTTTTTCCCCCTTGCTGTGGAAAACTGGAACTCATTTAGTTGACAGGAACTGTATCACAATGTGAATTTGAACTTACGCTTTAAACAGTTAAATGGGAGAACTTGGATTAACTTCTGATGGAGCAACTGGATCTATGAGTAATATAGTAGACGATGATGATAATCTGGTAATACCTGAGACAGTGATCTGGAGGCAGGGTCTCAATGTGTTTTTGTAAGTGCTCCAAAGAAGTTTTGCCTTACTGTTTTTATGCAGCTGTAAAACATTGTGTACAGCTGCAGTACACGTAGAATCTCGTGTATCTGTTTCAAATTCAGCCTGAACTGATTTTTAGAATTGTTAATTAAAATTTCACTCTCAGCTGCCAGAGGCTTGATGTTGAAGGCACTGAATCAAATTCGAGGTCAAAAATCCCTTTGCATTTATTGATACATCGTTCAGAACTACCTCTGAGATGATAGATTGGGAGTAAACTATGAAAAACATGTAACTAGAAGAAGGAAATGTGTCAGTGTAAAATGCTTTAGAGAAACCAAGCAAATGCAAGCAAAAACAGAATAAAAGGGATTTCCTTCTTTGTCTTCAGTATTAGCATTTTTATACGTTGGTTTCTGTTTCTATTCAGTTCTGTCTAGAGTTCATCATAGTTCAGGTATATACTTGTATGAATAGATGCATATATTCATACCTAATTTTGAATTTTCTTCTCATTTTTGTGAGACATGGAAAGGTTTTCAGTTTCTTAAAAGCCAAGAGTTTTATTCCTTGTTTTCTGTAGTAAATAGAGCTAACTTGTTCTGCAGGTAAAGTAACTCTGTGATTATAGGTGTAGAAAACTATGCTTGTGTATAACTGAAGACATTCGGCTTTGCAGTGTCCTGTAAGAACTCCTCTCCCTTCTTATTGTCTGCCCTTCGGTAGTGCTATTTGACCAACATAGAAGTAATGGACCCACATTAACAATTATATTGTGGGGTCTGTATCACCAGATGAGATTTCCTCGCAGACAGACATTAATGTGAAACAAATTTGAAAACAAAGCAGTATCTTTCTTGCTTTCCCTTTTTGACAAAACATTCTTGGTTTTTAGGTGTCTCTGTTGTTCTCAAAGAATATTTATTCTTAAAACTTGCAATAGGTGTATTGCAGTGACAGGCTTTTATGTAGATATGCTTGTTGAGTGTGTAAGACAATAAATATTACAGTAGCTGTTCTTGTAAGATACAGACATTTTTTAATCCTAATTTATATTTGCATTTGTTATTAAAGCCAGCTAAGATTCCTGGTATTAAACACCAGCTTTGTAGATCATGAAGCATAGCTGTACATACTGATACTCCAAGAAGTAATTCTGATTTCATTTTCTGAAGAAACTTTAATAAATTAAGTAATTTAGTAATTGATTTAGTAAGTTAATTTTTTTCTCCGCTTCTGAGCTTAATAAAAGGGATATTCAGTTTTTATTATGCAGACCTTTGTTTTTTAGTGTGTTTGATAGCTGAATATTACAATACTGACATAGCATACATAGAAATCATTTTTGCTATGAAGTCAGCCACTCTAGGTAGAAGACTTACGTGCCTCCCTCCTTACCCATACACCTCTGCATTCCCTGCCTATGTCTCTACGAAGACTTTTGAAGTTGATTTACACCTGTTGCTTATACTGTGCTTCTGTAAATAGTAACTGTCAGTGCTGGTATGATCCTGAATGAGAAATGCTCCAATAGAAATACATTAATGTCCCAGCATGAAAGAAAGACTTAGTTTTCGTGTTGTTGCTTGATACAGAAGGTTGAAGAGAATGAAGTGGAAAACTCATCGGGGAAATTGTTTCTTTAAAATCATGCAAAAGCCTTTTTGACAAAGAACAAATCTCTTAAGAACTATTCTTTTGAAACATACAATACCTGAAGCATGGTATCCCTTCCTCCCTCCCTTCCTTTCTTCCTTTTTCCTTCATTTCAGAATTGAGTTCTGCAATAATTTAACTTCACTAGTGTTAGGTTTGATTTTTCTCTTTTAAAATTTTGATCATACAGCAGAACAGATAAGATTTGTAATTTAAAAGGGCGGGGACAAGACCAACTTTCATTATTGCTATTACTTATGCACCAGAAAAACAACTGCGTGTTATTTGTGCAATCATGTTTCTAACATGGAAGGAACTAAACGCGCATTTGCTAGACTAAAGTTCTTAAGTATGTTGGTTAAAAAAAAAACAACCCACAACAAAACCCACAAACAAACTAGTATCTCATGTGTGATTAAAAATACCTTTTTTTTTTTTAATTGGCACTTCAGCAAGAACCTAAAAATACTTGTGTAAATTTTTAGTGGTGGATTTTCTATTTCCCTGGAATGTTTTCCATAAACCTTTACGCTCTTTTGAAGAGCATTATGTAATGTTTTGTTTGTGTTTTACAGATAACTTACTTTGACTTCCATATATAACCTCTGTTGTACATGTTTCCTTGAATAAATGAGGTGTATACCATGCATGAGTCCTTGCTTTGTTGTTGCTAACACTCATGTCAAATACTTCAAATTTGTGTGCATTCTAGCTTTTGAAACGTGCAAATTTAATGCTAGGAAAAAACAGTAAGCCTGTGTTATGTGGCAGCTGTTGCCTGTGTTTGTTAGTGTTTTGGTTCATTATTCTGCTAAGCCTTTGCTTTATGAAAGCATTTAAAACTCGTGCTTGACTTTGACTGTTAGTAGTCTTGCTTCAGTAGAAAGAAAAACTGGTTAATATCTAATGTGATCTGTACGGATAAACCTTTCCATGTTACTGGAAGGCACTGGGAACTTCACATCAGCCAGTTGTCTCTAAAGCTGTAGGTGGCATTGCAGGATTAAGGCCTCATTGCGTTGTGAATAGTTCATCAAATATATATTCAAAGTACTCATTTAGTAGTTTTGAAATCATTGAAGAGGAAAAAAAAATAGTGAAAAATCAAGGCACACCTAGTAAATTCTGAG